TGGGACTGGAGAATTGATGGACTTATCAGTCATATGCATGGAAACTAAGTCCTGCTTGGGATGGTGAAGATGGGCAAAGCATTTGGCCTTGACTTGAGGACTGTGTGGAATCATGGTAGAGTCTTGCATCTTGCATGCTGATTCTAGAGAATTATTGCAGCACAGAAGGAACTAGCCAGAGAATGGACTGAAAAGGTGAATAATTCCACAAACTTCAGAATTAACTCCTAAGCAACTTAAAAGTTCAAAGAATGTGGAAGATAAACTCAAATAGAACAATTAAATATACCCTTTTGGGGTGGGAAAAGGTTTCAAAGAATTTGATCTATGAAGAAGGAAATAATAAAAGTGGTCTCTGGAAGCAAAAGAAAAGAAGGCTAAACATTGACTATAATAACATGATTTGAATTGTTACCTGAGATGTTTTAGTGGCCCCATGTCTGAATCTTAAAAAAGACCCATACTTTCTATCAAATACATCTGTGCCATGTTCAAAACCAATGGGAGCAAATTTCAAGTCATCACAACCTACAGCTCTTGAGGAGCAGCACGCCCCCCCTCACTCTGTGGGTTGGAGATTGAACCCATCTGTCCCCATGTGCCATCTCTCCTCTGGCCTCCTCTCGTAGGGCCCCAGCATGTGGGCTGCAGGCAGCTGGCCACAGTTATTCCCCAATACAGGCTGGAGGTGGGTGGGTGGGTAGGGGCGCAGTTATAAAGAGCTTCTGAGAACAATGGATGCCATGGAAATGCTTTGGGAACATCGAGTATGAAAAGGGAAGCCTCAAATTAAACAAAACTAGAAAGAAATGAATCATGAGTGTATATAAAAGGTAAATTGTTCACTCTCTCTCATATAGATATATACCTCCCCCGTCACACACACACCACACAAAGTGATATTTGCATTCGGCAATAAACAACAAAAGCAAACTGCAGAATAATATGTGACAGTTCCATGTTTTTTGTAGCTAAAAATGATAAACAACTGACAGTTTCATGTAGTTTCAAGATATATATTTATCAGCATTTATAAGTATGTTTAATCTTAAACATATATATATGATTAAACATACTTATAAATATATATATATATTTCCCTAATATAAATTTATATTTTATATTAGGAAAAATATAGGCTTATATATATAATTTAATGGTTATCTTCTGGTGGTGAAATTTTTTTTTGTCTTTGTGATTGTACTTTTTATTTTGGATTCAATAACTGCTTGGTAACTATGTAAATAATAGAAATAATTCTCAAAGAAAAAAATGACAACTTAGAGCACTATTAAAAGCCACTTTTTGAATCTTTAACTTTTAAATACAAAAAAAGATTATAAGATTAAGTTGCAATTACTGATCATGGACTTCCCTTTACCCTGAAGTTAGCTGTCAGTGTATAAGGTAGACCCTGTGAAAATTGTTATGATTTTCCCAAACCACAGCTCAGCTGCCGCGGACTCAAAATTGTAGCATTTCTCTGCCTGCAGGACACAAAAGGGGCCCTCCTGGGCCTATCTGTATACCCAAGGGCCCTAGGGAGGCAGAGACTAACTGAATTTGACCATGCGGAGCCCCAGATTTGTTGCCAGGAAGTGGCAATAATCACAAAAACACAAACCCCAATTAATCAGGAGCTCTTGGAGTGGGGCCCAGCCATGGGTATTTATTTTAAAAGCTCCCCAGGTGATTCTAAATGTGCAGCCAACATTCAGAACCATGGCCCTAATGGACTAATTTACTAAGGGGTCATTTAAATACGGCCTTTGGATAGAGGTAAAATGAAAGCAGAGAGGATTTGGTTGACCAAGGCCAAGTTGTTGCATGGCCTTGAGCCTTGTGAGAAAATGATTATGCAAACAGAGTAACAGAACATTGAATGTGAATTGGGCAGTTCTTGCAAAGTTAGAGAGGTCAGTGGGTGGCCCTCCCTAGTGCTCATAAACCGATGTCAAATCAGACATCTCTAGTTAGGAAAATGCTCTGTGGTGGCAGCTTGCTGTCAAGGTAAAGTTATTTCACAAAATGCAGCAGAACCCAATTTTGATGCTGATGCCATGGGACTAAAGCTGTCTTGGGCCCCAGCGGCCTCTAGCCTTTTCCATAAGAGGATGCACACTAATACAAGAGACATGCTGGACTTCAGCACTAAGTATCAGCCTCTTGCATAATTTTTATTCTGATTTAGGGAATCATTTTGAATGCATTCTTTATTTTTTATTTGTTGTTTTCAGATGTAAATGACACTAGAGTGTATTTTAACATATCATACATACACGGAATGCAACCCACTCCAAACTTTATCCCATTCTTGTGGCCTATGTGTCTTTGGTTGATATCCTACAGATCGATGTACAGTAGGTGCAGGCAGCAGAGCCCCTAGTGGCCTTCTGGTTTCTGCCTTTTTTTTTTTTTTTTTTTTAATATATCAGGAAACTGAAGTTTTGACTTGCCTTGATCTTACAGTAAGCAGAGGCCAGGTGTAGACCCAAATTTAACTTTATTCACTCAGGTGTGCCCAAACCTTGCTAGAATTTCTGATTTGGAGTTTTGGCTTGTCCATAAGCAGTAGCACAAATAGGCATTTTTTCACTCTGAATAGATGATGATCCTGATAATCAGCATCATGATATTCAGGTATTGAAATTATATTATTAGCTTCCATTTATTACAGTTATTAATGTCAAAATAGGTGCTAGCCCTATGCTGCATCCTTACTATCAACCCTCAAGGATGATTTTTATTCTCATTTATCTTCAGAGAACACTGGGGTCTCACAAGAAGAATGCAGATACTTCAAGATTTCAATTCAGTTCTGACCCCAAGAGTCTGCACTAACTGCACAGTGACCCTACTCATAGCGCCAGAGCTGGTCAGAGGGGAAAGTGCCCCTCTCCTGCCCTGTGTGCCCTATGGCCTGATTTATCTGTCTCTGGATATTATAGCCCCTTTCTCTCTTTCTTCTTTCATAGCTATACCCAGTGAAACTCCATCACCCTGATTTTTTCGTAGCCTAACTTTATTTCGATATATTTTTCTGGGGAGCAGTTATATATCTCACCTGTTTCTAATGGAGTTTTATTTTGCTACCTGGCATAATCTCCATTTCCTGTGGTTCAGAAGGAAGAAAATACTGTTACGCTCAGCCAGAGTTCTAAACAGATGTTCTACATGTCTCCTTGTGTGGTTGTAGCAATGCATCACTTTCAGACACCTCAGCCCTAGCCTGCCAGCATCACTGTGCCCATGCCAAGTGCTTTGAGATATCCTGCAATAAGCAAAATCTGAAGCTAGGTTAAACCCACCAAAGTCACTTCATTCTAATTCTTGAGTGTATTAGCATCTGGATGTCAGGAGGTGCCACCTGCTCTTGGGAAATTTCGTGATGTTGAATCGGTACAGTAAGGGGAATGCAAGGATTCAGTTTTTAAGAAGCCTGACTCTGTGAAACTCATACTGTCATATCACCATACACAAATTATTATCTTTCATAGGAGTTTTTTATTTTAAAGAAAATTCTGCCAGAAATTACCCTCAGCCATCTCAATTTTCTCTTCTATTAAAAAAATGGCTCATTTGCAAGTGTGTACTTTACCTACAACTTGTAAAAGCTACTTCCATAACCTATTAGATGGTAAAATACACAAAAGCTATATTTAAACCGCACTGCATTTGTATACTGAAAAGGCTTTCTATCAAAGTCAGTATTAAATGCAGGAATGGGTTAGGGTAAGAGAAATTCCATGGAGACCTCTGGATATAGCAGTTTATCTGCCTGGGAGGGGATATGGTGCAGTCAGTCAGATAATATTTATGAAGTTCTCAAATGTGTAGTGTGCTAGATTTGATTCAGTTAAAAACATAATCCAAAATGACAGTCTCTCTCCTGGTGGCTCACCTTCAGGCAGATAGAGAAGGGGACTACAAAAGGTGACCTTTCAAGGCCCTTTCCTGTTGTTGTGTGATTCTGTGAGGAGTAACAACAGCCTAGGTCCCTTTGTCTGACAGTATCCCACGTAAACTCTAGGATGGAAATGATGATGGGGGGAGAACCATGAGATCTTCCAGAATCTTGGCATGGCATTGAAGGAGAGTCCTTTCCGGTTTCTGCATTGTGGTGGAGCTGTGTTGGTCTGAGATTGGACCAGAGGCAGGAAAAATGGAGGGAGAGCAACTCTGTTATAAAACAAAAGAAGCCACAGCACCAAGTCTCAGTGTGATCTGCATGGATTCTATTATTTGGTGAAGGGCTAGGAAAGAGGATGGAGGGCCTTGCAGGGGGCTGATAAAGTTCCCTTAGTTGAGCTCTGAGTACTGAGGTCCTGCTGATTGTCCTTTCTCTTTATCCACCTTGCCTGATGGGCGCACTGCTGAATATCATTATAAAATGATAACTTTTCCAGTTAGGGAGGTGGTACACATTTTAACAGCTAAGGAAGAAATGAAACAAACACGCAGTGATTTCTTAAAGACAAAACTCTAACATGCTCACAATAGCACACCCACAACCCACAAACCTCCACACACAGATAAACAGAATTTGGAATTTTCTGTCCAGCCCATGATTACTGCAAACCAAGGCAGGATCCCTTTAAATATGTATCCACTGGTTCATTTTTCTATCATCACATATAGTGAAATGGCATCTCTTACCTGAACAGGCTTCTCACTGCATATAAAAAAGAACAGGCAGCAAGTTCACACTGCTCCTACCAAACTGATAACAACTAGGAAAGGCAACAGAGAAAAATGCTAGCAAACTGGAGAGAAAATAAATTTTTAAAAATCAAATGATCATCTTGGAAAAATATTTCAAAAGAGGCAAATAAAAAAAATAGAATGAAAAAGAAAAAAACACGGACAACGTAATCCGTATTGTCTGTAGAAATGGAGAAAATGTATCATTTATAGAGGTGGATATAAAGTGATACAGAAAATATATCTGCTCCATGTAAATTTATTAAATGCAACTTTCTTTTTCTCTCTCTTTCTTTTAGATAAAAAACCTCTTCATGAAATAAAACCCCAAAGTAAGTTATTTTTCCTCTTGTGAATATAATTTATTCTCATATTTGCTGCCTTACTGTTGTATTTGTATAGGAACCAAGCAGAATTGAAGTCCCCATGAAAGATCCAGGGCTTTGGGGGCTTCCTCTCATTGAGTTTGGAGTTGCATATCAGAGGTTTAAATCAAAAAGAAATATGCACACCCTTTCCCTCCCTCTGAGCACAAGTAAATCTCTCTTCTTGATTCTTTCTGCCTGTAAGTCCATTGCTCTGCAAATGTCATCTAGGATTCTTATTTCTGGAGAGATTTATAGCATTAAAATTAATAAATATTTTTCATTCTACACTTTCATCAGAGCAGCCTTTTAGGCAAAAGCCTGTCTCTAAGCCGTTCCACTGAGGAGGAGAGGAGGTGGAGGAAGCAAACCCAGAATCTTACCTGCGAAGGCATCCATGACAGCTGGGTAGATGAGGAGCCAGATTTCCACAGTGAAATAATTATGAACTCAGAATGTTGGTGTTGGTGCTGGCATGCTCCCTAGATGCAGACATGCTTCCTGAAAGAGGCCTTTGCATTATTTCCATTTTATGCATCCCGTAGCTATGGAGAAAGGAATGTGGCTTAAATGCTTGGCAGCTTGCCATTTGACCTTGTGGTTCTCAACCTTAACTGTACTCTGGAATCTCCCAGAGGGCTTTTTAAAATCCTAATTCCAAAACTGTACCAGTGAAGTCAGTATTTGCGGTGGGAGGGTGTTAAAACCCAGGAGACCCCACTTTTTTCAAACTTCCTCAAGTGATTCCAGTGTGCAACTCAGGCTAAGAACCACTATCTAAGAAAAGCAGTTCTCAAAAAAAAAAAAAAAAAAAAAACCAGATCAGAGATCAAATGCATCCAGATCTTGGGGTATGGTGGGAACTTATTAAATAGCCCCACCTTAGAATACAACAAGTGAATTAGAATCTCTGGTGGGGGTTTCCTGTTAAGTATCTCCATGTTAACATCCTTCTGGTCATCGTCATGCACTCAGAAATAGGTAAAGCATCCCAAGAAACCTCAAGATAAAAGGCATCAGCAGTTCAGCTCTTTTCAATAGAAGAGTAGACAGCTACCCAGTTGGTTTGGTTTGTAAAGCTTGTATAAAAATGTCCTGGCCCACTTTCCTTCATTTTAGTATAAAATGAATGACTTTTGATCTTTTAAATCCTAGGGCATTAAGATTCAAACAGCTTGGGAGAGTTAATAGTTTTTATTAGCTGACTTCTTTGAAAGACTTAAGACCCTATGAGGATAGACAGAAATAGGTACCTTGGGGCAGGCCATCAGGAAAGATGAGAGAAAGATCCAGAAAAGCCATTCCATTCATACTTCCTTATATTGCTTTAGGCAAGCCAGAGATATAAAGATGTTGTTACTTGAAGAGTCAGAAAACTTTGTAAAATAGCAAAATAAACTTTCTTAACTTTTTTCTCTGCAGCCATCTGCTCATACAAGAATCACTGGTACTTAGGTTATCTGCACTCTGACATCATGCATAGTGGCTTTTGGATGCATAGAAAGATGGAGTTTGGGGAACCTGGCTATGTATGTGTAGGCTTGTATGTAGGTATGTGTGCATGATGAGGAAGGGAAAAAAACAAGGGCCACTGAATATTTGGCCTGTGCGGTGTCAAGGTCCTCAGGGTGACAGCTGGTGGGAAAGGACTCTTACCTTCCTCTTTGTTCTATGTGCATGCCATCTGCAGGTTTGGGTGCATACCACAGGCAAGATTGTGACTGTCTATGTGGTGGCCGAGATGAAAGTTACTTAGAAATGCATGTGTGTGTTTTTAAAATTAATTTCATGCTCAGTTTGTGAGTACTGTGGCATTCAAATTTGGTTACATCTGTACTTCCAGTCATAAACCCCACAGAAGCTATTTCTAGTCCTTAGGGAGTCCTGAATTAGTTTTTGCTTGGGGTTCTCACTCCTGAGTACCATGCTTAATTGCTGGATACTGCAATGGAATCGCTTAAATGGTTTTAATTTGTGATTTCCCTAAAAATAAAACTTTAACAGAATCAATGTGATTGCAAAAGGCTCCCAGAGGAATCCAATCGGGGTTCTGTAAGCGGCATGGTTAGAAGTGCATTATACAAATTCAGGCTGCATCGTTCAGCGAAAGTGGGGCTTAGTTTAAGACTACATGAATCATCACTGATGCAAAATCAAAGTCAATTATGAAGATAATTGAGAAACAACCTGTTCCTATATATAGCTGTACACATGATCCTCCACAAGGCCTGGTGGATAGAAAACATCACTTGGAACTTCGCACACAGTCCTCCGTGAGCAGGCAGGCAGAGGAGCCAGCTTTGAGTTGCGTGGAGGTGTAAAAAGAAAGTGAAGTCTTAAGATATCTGTTGGCAAATCATAATGACAAACTGGGGAAAATATGTGCACTGCATAGCTCATGAAAGCACTTATTGTAAATGAGATAATTTAATCAACTACGTTTCCTAATGTACTAAACCGAATGTTTCATTTTCTGCTTCTGCACATCTTAAATTATCTTCAGGTGCTTTATGAGATTTAATCATAGTTAATAGAAACTTCATTACCATCAAATGTGCTTTCAATAAATGTTGTGTAACAATGTCAGGAGGTGCAGTAAAATATAGTAGGTTCTGAATGGCAAACTCGCACCCCCAGAGTCAGACTGGAAAATGGTTTCGCTCAGACAATGAGACTCCTTGGAGGCTAGAAGAATGTGGTTTTCTGAAAAGCTATGAGCTCCAGAGGAGTCTGGTTCGTAAGTTCACCTGCAGGGTGAACTATATCTCCTCACCACGCCTCCTTTCTTCAGAGCTAACGGAGATGAATGCTAAAGCGGAATCCAACTAGTTAACTTCTAGAGTCAGCTACCTCCAGAACGTCTTCAGCTGGATATCTCACCATAACCCTAATCTCAACCTCCAGATTGAATGTATTCTTCTCTGAAACCTGTCCCTCCTCCATCCCACTTCCCTTCTTCTCACTTGCCATGAACTCAGTAGTCTGGGTCGGAAATCTGGACAGCTTCCTAGTCCCATCTGTCTTCATTTCTCTTCTGTTGCTCAATATCCAAAAAACAATCACCAATATCTCAATACTACCCAAACAGATTTCAGGTTCATCCACTGCTCTCCGTTTCTATTCTACTCAAATCCTTCTCTGCATTCATGCAGCAGTTTTCATTGAGTGCTTACTGGGTGCTAGGAGATGGTCTAGGGAATGGAGAATCAGCACTGACCACAACACCTACAGTTTCAGCTTTCAGGAAGCTCACAGTTTTAGAGAAGGAAGGTAGATAAATAAGTAAGGCAACAAATACACAGTGCTAAGTGTTGTGGAGATGGTGTGAAGAGTTAGAAATGAACTAGGGTGAGGGGCTTAGGCAGCATTGGCGGGGGGGGTGTCGATTTTTGGTGTGAATTGTTCATAGAAGATCTATGTAATAAAATTAAACTTGAGAAGAGACCTGGGGGAAAATGCAAGGAAACAAACATGCTGGATATCTGGGGACAAGATATGGGGCAAAACAAACAGCAGGATGCAAAAGCAGTGTGAGGTGGGAGCTCACTTGAAGTCTCTGAGGGACAACAAGGAGGCCCGGCTGAGGAAGAATAGTAACAGCTGAAGTCCAAGAATGGGGGGGGGAGGAAGACCCCATGTGTGTTTTAGTCCATCATAAGGACCTTGAGTTTTATTCTAAGGGAGATAGGAAGCCATCAAGGGTTTTTATTCAGAGTGATGTTACCTAATATTTTCAAGGATAAACACTATCTGCTACATTGAGGGTAACCCTATAGGGAACCAAAGAAGAAGCAAGGAGATCTATTAAAATGATCTGGTATAGGCCATGAGGATGATCCAGGTTCAAGATGATTGTGGCTTTAGGCCAGAGAGGTAGAAATAAGAATTAGAAAAAGGTGTCCTATTCTGAAGACACACAAAAAAAGGATTTGCTGATGAATTGGGCCTCATGTAGGAGAGAAAGAAGAATGTTGTGGGTAAACCCCAAATTTGGGCCACACAACAGATGGAGTTGACATTATCGATGTGGGGACAACCTGGTTTAGCAAAACTGGAGGCAGAATCAAGAGCTCAGCTTCAGATGCCTATTAAAGCATCTGAACGGAGAGATTGAATAGGCAGTTGAATATATGAGTCTGGAGGGCAGAGGACTGTCCTGGCTGGTGACATAAATCCAGGGCCTGTCAGTGTCCAGATGATACTTAAAACCATTCATTTAGATGAGATCACTAGTGGATACCAAATGTGAATAAAATACAAAGATCTGAGGACTGAGCCCTGAATGACAATAACACTTAAATGTAGAGAAGGTCAAAAGTCACTGCAGAGGAGAAAGGAAAGTAACAGCAGCAGCCATAGCGGTAATAGACAACCAAAAGGAAAAGAAAATGTCCCAGAAGAAAAGTCAGGCCAGATTCCTAACCAGGCTTTCTACAGTTGCCTCCTTGTATCCAGGCTTGCCCTATATCAATTTTTTCTGAGCCTCTCAAAACATTAATTCTCATCACCTTCCTGTTTAAAACCCTTCAGTAGCTCACCTTTGTTCTTACGATGAAGTCCAAAGAAATTATGCACCATCTGTGCCCAGCTTCCTTCTCCTAATCCTTTCAGCTTCTCTTTTTTTATTTTTTAAATTTATTTCTTACATACATGACAATAGCGGAATGCATTACATTCATAATTATCCATTCACAGCACAATTTTTTGTAACTCTCTCTTTTAAGTATGTTCACGCCAAATTATGCCATTATACATGAGCTTTCTTTTTTTTTTGCATTACAATTCTTAATACATGTTTATACCACAATTTATCATATTTCTGTTTGTATATATGGTATATTGACACCCAATTCACATCTTCATACATGTATTTTGTATAATGATGAGGGTCTCCTTCCACCATCCTTGCTATTCTCCTTCTCCCTCCCTTTCTCATTGGCTAGATTTCTTCCTTGCTCTCTCAATTA